CTAGCAATAAATAGATTTTATGGCATGTAAATCATACCTCCATAAGCGTGTTTAAGGAGAGAAATGTGACCAGCACACGAGTCCGGATTGCTTTCCAGCTGGTCCTGAGCGGGGATTGCAGGGCCCTGCTGTGTCCGCCCATCTACTTATTTGGCCTTTAATTTTCCAGTCTAAACTTCTGTCTGTCCACTTGTCCACACGCCTGTGTCGTGCATTCATACAGCTAGCTCTATGAAGGACAGTTTTAGTTAAGGGAAGTGAATGCGACATAGAATCCGAAGTAAGGACACTGGAGTGATTACATGGCTCTTTTTGAGATTTGGAATCACTTAGCAGTGTGTGTGTGTGTGTGTGTGTGTGTGTGTGTATGTGTGAACAATTTTTGAAAATGTCTGCCTTTTAGACTGAATATGCACATCTAAAAGGATATCCTCTTTTCCTTCGGGCTGCAGAATACTCAGACATCTGTTGCTTTTGGGAGTGGATCATGTTGATTAAAAGCTCTGGCTTCTAGATTTGAGTTATGGCTCTCTGTGCCTTCCACATGTGCACCAACTTCTTTTGAACTTCAATTGCTACATCTGTAAAACAGTGTTAATAGTTCTGTTTTGGGTTTTTTTTTTTTTTGGTACCAGGTATCAAACTTGGGTCCTTGTGCTTGCGAGGGGGCAGTGGAACCACTGAGCTAAATCCCCGACCCCAGGGTTAATAGTTCTGGTGTATAGGTTGTTAACAGAATTTAATGGGATGATGCATATGAAACACTTAGCTGATTCCCAAGCTCATAGCAAATGCTCAATAAATATTAATTACTATCATTATTTTACCTATGCTGGATCAATGCTTCCAGTTTGCCCTTGCTTTTTCACAAAGATTAAAATCTCATTCTTCTGAAAATCTATGTCTTGCCCCCCCATTTTAGGTTTCTATTTACCATAGTTTTTTATCATGCACAAGTGATTTATTGGTCTCTGAAACATGGCGAAAATTTGTTCTGTCCCTATTTCACTTGACATAGATTGCCTAGTGGGCTGCTGCCCCATATGTAACTAACCTCTTCTTAAAGTCTGCGTTTTTGCTATGGGCAGGGAATGCTTTAAGTACCTTTGCATTGTCCCAGATGCTTGTCCACAAAGTTCGTGCCACCTGTTTAATCCTGACTGAATAGTTGCTCCCTTGCTTGTGTGTCCTAAGTGAGCCCCGAAGAAATAGTGTAAATGTTGGCCTGCATTAATTAAACGGACAATGTTTTTGGCTCAGTGGTGAGACCCATTCAGAAAGGTTTTGACATTGAGGTTGGTTTGTCCCACAGCCCTTCTCTGTCCTTGGAATGAAGTTTATCGGACTCCTTGCATTGTGAGTTGACAAGGGGATGTGCTTTATAGGGTGATGTGTATTGGGAAATCTTTTCTTTTTCTTACTGTAAGTTTGATTATTTTAAAAAATTTATTCTAAGTGGCCATGATTGCATAAATTTATGGGTTATTCTGTGGTGCTTTGATATGTATTTACAGTGGTGTTTGGAGAACCTTTATCCATGCTGTCAAATGCATATAGTAAGAAAGGAACAGTTCAAATTACCTGAAAGAAAAGAAATATAGCAAAGAACACATGTGACAAAACATGAACCTATGATGCTTCAGGGGTTCAAGCTTCATGATGAATAAAAGTATGATAATTTAATTATTGATCAGTTTTGATGTAAGACTTGAAGTACAGGCTCTTGTTCTGGCAAAAAGACCGCTGATGTCTAAAATTGTTCCTTTAGTGAAAATCATCATGTTACATGGATTAGTCCACTCAACATTGTCAACAACATATTGATAAGCTGTACTATACTAGCATTATCCCCATTTAAAACATCTAGTATAATTTTATTAGTAGTATTTCATAAAATTTATTTTCATCTTCCAGGTTAAATACTACCTAAGTATTTGTTGGTTTAAAATTGTTTCAAAGGTAAAACATTCTAGAGTCTCATTGCTGAGATGAATTAATTTTTAGAATTTTTCTACTTCAGCAATTTCCATATTTCCTAAACCCCAAATTGTTGTTCCCATGATCCATATGCCAAAAAAAGATGTAAGAGTTTTTTTATTCTGTTTGAATTGGGGCAGGCGTCTTGAACCCTGTGTAACAACTTGTCTGTGCCCAGGGCCCTGAGAAACATTCACGGAAAATCACTGATTTTCTTCATTTTCCAGGCTATGTACCTAGATAAACAAAGAAAGATTTATAATATTCCTTAGGTACAGACTCTAAATTATAAATTAGACCTTTTGATTCCTAGACTGTTTTTTCTATGAGACCACACAATGTTATGTAACATAGTAATTACTGTTTACTAAAATGTACTCATATAAAGATGGTGAAGTACCTTCATATATTTTATACTGGAACTTTACAACTTTTATAGTAGGTATAACCTGTTCCTTCTAGAACACCCCAAAATGCTGTATGATTCATAGACAGTTTCCTTTTGGAAATTTGATGGAGTTGGCAGTAGAGTAAGAGGGGAAAATTAGAGACAAAAAACATTGAAAAATTCTGATGTTATTAAAACGAGCAAATACATTGGATTTGGCGTTTGTCCCAAGGACAATTTTAGTTCCTTGTGATTTGGGATTTGGCTTCTGATGGACACTGTGTAAGAAGACAGGGCACCTTGCAACCAATGTGATTTGCTCAGATAAGAACCTTGTGGGGTGAACCTCTCTGTGGGTGAAAAAAATCAACGTGTGAGGAGAGATGTGAAAAAAATCACTGTGTGAGGGAAGATGCGCCTGTGAGTCTTGGCTCTAGATTGCAGGCAAGAGGAGAAAATTTGCATTCATGAAAACTTAACCGTAGAATATATTCTACCTGCTTGGTTAATCCCCATCCCCAAGGGAAAAGCTTAGCTTAAAGTGATTTTAGGTTGATAATTCCCCCAGGCGACTGGCAGAACCAAGCACAAACACTGTCTGAGGAAATGCAATTTAAAACCAAAACCTCAAGTAAGTTCCACAGATTCAATTCCAAAGAATATGAGTGCACAAATAAAAATCACTCAAAATACAAAAACAGGCCACTGTGTGATACTTAGCATAAACAACAAACAGCACGAGTATATGTATAAATACTGAAAATATTGGAATGCTTAATATAAAATACACTTGTGTAATGTGTTTAAAGATAGAAAAATAATAAAATTAAAAGATGAAAGGAGGACTGTCAAATTTGACCAAACCAGTTAAAGAAGAATCAAATAGCATTGTAGAAAATAAAAATATTGTAAGTGAAAGTTAATATCAGTGACTAAAACCAAATGTGACACAGCTCGAGAGAAATAATAATTGAAATACATATCTGGAAGTCACACCAAGATCAGCAGAGAGAGGTAAATAAATGTCTTATGTGAAAGCAAATCCGAGCCACAAGGAAGAGGCACTCACAAATGCAGCTAGAATTCTAAATAGAAAGAATAAAGAAAATGGCAAAGAAACAATGTTTGAAGAAAGAATACTTTGTTTCCATTTTTGTAACTAGGGATGCGTGAAGGGGATGAAGGGAGGGGAGGGTACAGGGGGAAAAGTAAGAACCAAGACATCTCATGTAAAGGTACAAGATCCCAATGGTAAATGTAACTATTGCTTTCTTTAAATGTATCAGTAAACTTAACGTGTGTGTGTGCGCGCGCGTGCGTGCGTGTGTGTGTGTGTGTGTGTGTGTGTGTATGTGTGCGTGGTGGGGGAGAATACTTGATAATTTTCCAAAATGATGAAGAGTTAATCAACTCTAAAATTAAAGAATTCCAAGGAACTCTAAATCAAAATAAATGTACACATATGGGCCTCAGAGTAAAACTGAAGAATATAGAGCAAAACCAATCAGTTAGCCAACTGACCAGATGACCAGCCAGCCAACCAACCAACCAACCAACCAACCAGCCAAACAAAAAAGATGATCTTTAAAGTATCCACAAAGAGGTAGCCACAGACCACTGAACTACTCAATAACCACAATAGAAGTCATAAAAAAATGAAATATATTTTCAAAATGTTCAGATAGAAAAACATACATACTGTTTTTCAGGTATGAGGGTGGTCTATAGACATACTTAGTTGAGTTAAAATCCACTACAGTAACTATTAAAAGATCTTCACTAAAATAACTCCCTAAAATAACTTCCTACTTTAGGAAGAGAAATAATTATCCTGAAAGAGATAGCAGGAATTCTGAGAGGAATATTTAACAAAGAAACTGTCAAATACATGCTTTGAAAATATTTCCCAGGAAACATATTTAAGCATGTCTCTAGCAGTCTTGTTTATAGTTCAAAACCTGAAAATAACTCAATTTTAGTATGATGTATAAAATAAGTCGTGGCACCTTCATACTATGGCATAGCATACAGCACTAGCAACTGATCCCTGTAGGCATTAACTTGGGTGAATTTAACAAAGCACACCATGTAGCCTCGTAAAATGTGGTTTCATTTGTTTACAATGTTCAGACATTTGTTTGGGAGAAAGCAATTATGTATGACAAAGATATCAATGCATCAAAGGGCATAATCAGCAAAATCTAATGCTTTTCTTGGTGGCCGGGAGGAGTTTTCATTGGGTGGATATATTTAAGGGGGTATTGATAATATTTTCATTTTATTTTATATATTTGCATATTTATTCATATCTTTTATATGTATTACAGAGTTTACTGAAACAGTTAAAGAGGTTAATTATGCAAGAAGGTAATAGGAAGGAGATTCAGGGTCAGCCATTCTGATGGGAATGGCTTTAGCAAATTTGAGTATCAGAGAGTAAGAACTCCTGAGCAGTGGGATGGTCCAGAGTTTCCTATTTCTCTTCTCTAGCTCCCTACCCCACCTCACTCTGGCATACTGCCAAGGTGAGTTTTCATGCGCAGTGACGGGTGGTAAAAACAGGTTTCCTGTTTTGTCATTTGGAAGTCCTCTGTTTCCTCCTTTCCTGATGTGAAACTTCATATGCATCTTACAGGTCATAACTTTTGTGTTGACGCACCTAAATGTGGTGAAAACTCAGAGTGCAAAAACTGGAATACAAAAGCGACTTGTGAGTGCAAGAACGGTTACATCTCTGTCCAGGGAGACTCCGCCTACTGTGAAGGTAAGGAAGGTGCCTCATTTGCCGCTCACTCGGGAGAAACTGCCTCAGAAACGTGTCCCTGGGAACTGGGGTTGAAGACCGAAAGCCATCGCTTGGCTTTGTTCCTACAGGATCCTACAACGATCCTGTCAGTTACCCAAGGTACTCTGTTCTCTGGCTTTATCCCGGCTACCTGTGCTGAGGAAACAGGACCTTTGAATTTGGTTATGAATACCGGGGCACCTGGCACCCCATATTCCATGGTGTGTGCCAATCACCAGCACGTTTCCCCTTTCAAATTTGAGGAGATTGTGTGTCCAAGTGCAGTTATGCTGGATTCTCCTCAAACAGCTTTTTGACATTAGTTGAAATCCGGCTGTCATCTTTTTCACTTGTGAAGGTCAGATTTTTTTTTTCAGTTGGAGTTCTTAATGATTCATTCAAGGTGTTGCCAATTACAAATCTTTAAGAATCACAGTGATGGTACTCATGGCTTTGCTTCCCGAGCTGATGCCATTACAACGGGTTTCTAGGGCAGAACGCCTCCTCTGTCTTATGTGAACAGCTCTTCCCAAGCTGGCTCTGCTGCTGGAGGTGGCACCACGCACCCCTGTTCCTTTTGTGTGGCCGAGGGGTGGGGGCAGCTCTGGCATAATTCCTGAGCCCATCCCATTGCAGTGCTCCCTGGCTCTCTCCTATCAGTTTAGAGAAGCTCTAACCGTGAAGGGATGACTTGGCACTTTCTCCATCCAGTTGCTGTCCTTGAAATCAGTCCTTTTATTTTCACTAATTAAATATGAAGCGATGGGGAGGTGACTTTCTTGAGTTGAGTAAATGCTGTAAAATTTGGTTCTAAAGTTGGTTTCCAGTTTTCTCATTATATTGATCTCAGGAAGAGTAAATTTATTTCCATCCTTTACCTTTGTATCATCTATTTATCCTTGCTTAACTTTTTGGTTTCGACTAAAGAGCAGCAGTTGTTAAAGCAAAATACCTACTTCTAGCGTCGGTGGTGTGTTGTTTTCGTTTCTTCAGGAAGACTGTGGTCGTTTATACTTTCCTTTTCATCGGCAGTGTGCTAGCGTTTTTCTCCTCTCTTTGTTACCTTTTTATCCATTTGCTTGCCTTCTAGATCTGAAGTTGATTAGGACACAGCAGTTGAGAATGAAGCTGCCACTTTGGCTATGAAACTTTTTATCTACCCTTTGATATCATGTTACTGATTTGTTAATTTTAGTTCCTCACACAACAGAAAATCTGTTCTTAAAATTTTACTTTATGAACTTTCATATCAGAAAATTAATGTTATTCAAAGCCAAATTACTATGTGAGCATCTGTCCTGTATTCACCGTGGAAAGGGTCCTATAAGCCATGGTCTAAAAGGCTCACTTTCCTACTTTCTGCCTATGTGGAAAGGGATTCTGAGCAATCATAGAAGTGATGTCAAGAACCTTGAAATAATTAGAATGTTGATTCCATGAACACTGGAAGACCTTTGAGTTGTGCACTGGACTGAGGACACCCCCATTCCTGGGCCTCCTGAGCTCCCGAAACCAGGAAGAATGTGAGAGAAAATGGCCCCTGCTAATTCTGTTTGAAATGTGGAATCTCTCCTCATTGATACCACTTTATTTTTTCCCCTGTAGTTGTAGCTCCAAGAGAAACTTCTGTGATATTAAACCTGCCTTTTGGTGGGAGGCCTTGTGGTATTATGTGAGTGGTTCCAGGTATAAGCCACTGTTTTCTTGGCTTAGTGTCTGCAGTGGGCCTTGGGCCACTGTGCACCTCGATGCTCCCCTGGGTTATGGTGATGCCTGGGGTGTCAGTCATCTCTGCTGTCCTGGAGCTTTTCCACAGGGCCCAGGCCACTTGTTCATGGGTAGCACCTAAGGAGAAATTGCTAAATGATGTGGTCTCCTAGTGTATAGAGCTCAAGGAGGAAAGCAAGGATGAAACACCGCGTACCCAGGTGAGCAGCTCTGAGAACCACCTGGAGTCAGCACTGCCACTGAGAATAGATGTTTTCTCTCCTTCAGTCTGCTGTCTGCAGCACGTTGGGCCTTCATTCCCATGATTGCATTGTGGTTGCTTTAGCTCCAGCCTCGGTGAGCTCCTACAGCACCCAATCAAGCAAGGAAGAAAGGGGCAGGAAGTATGAACTTGTCTGTGAGGAGTTCTGTCTTTTTATGTTCAAAGAATTTCCTTCTGAGAATGTGCTCCCAGCTCCACCACTACCACACACAGAAAACATGGCCCGTTTAATTGTCATATCTGGGTTCAAGCCCCCTGCATACACGAACTCTTAGAGCAATGCTTGGGAAAAAGGAAGGAAGTGACCACTACTGGCTCGGGCTAATTTAGAATGCTGTGGAGATGGAGTAGTTTGTCTTTCCTGATACCAAACGATCTGTTCTCTGTTTAAACCACATTGTGAGGTGGCAACAGAAAAGGGTGGGAGTGGCTTTCAGGTGGGCAAAAGCTATGATCATCTTACATTTTTAATGGTTAAAGTGAGTCTGTGACCATCTTCCTAGCCCTGTCCTAGGAATTTCCCTCTGGGCTGGTCTGATGGATGAGCTTAGGGGGGCGGTACGAAAGCCTGGCTTTATTGTCTCACCCAGCTGAACCTAAAGAGATCCAGACATGTTTGAACCACTTCGTGCCAGCTGTTCTTTATCCTTTGTAAATGGAGCAAAAAAGGCCCATGTTATTAAACCACAATGAACAAGACTGGCTTGCAAATTAAAACAAAATATTACACACACTGTCCACGCTGTCTTAGAAAGCCAGTTCGGGCTGTTAGTGCAAGAAGAAGCACAGAAGGCTTTCAGTTTTCTCAACTTCCTCGGGTAGTCGCAGAGCTGTGGTATATTATTGCTCTGTGGAGATTGCTGCAGAAACTGCCGGAGAGAAGATGATGGAACTCTGGCCAGTCAACGGGAGATAATGAGACCTTTTGTCGGTGATAATACAATTCACAGGAGATGGTTTCTTTTTGCCCTGTGCAGCTCAAGCTGGCACAGTCCCCATTTTGAAGGCTGCATTAGTGGGATTTTAGTATTTTGTGAACCTTGTGAGCTGAGACTTTTTCTCTTTGTGATGACATTTTCAATGAGTTGGTCATAAGTAATTTCTGACCCATTATTTTCAATTAGAAGTAATGTCTGGGGAAGGTGTAAGGAGGGGGTCCTACTGATGATCTTTCATGTTGAATTTGGAGTCTTAACTAGTTCTATAAACTCTTTTTTGTTATAGAAAGAGATCACTTTGATGAATTAAGAATAAAGTGATGTCACATGAACTCTGCCCTGTACACGAAGTACTACAATGAACCCTAACTGAGAAGACCTTTACTTTTAGAATATTTGAATTTTCCAGATGCCTCTTATATATGCCACAATTTTTGAGAATTAAATAATTCTCTAAGGAAAATGCCAGCGTTGGCTTCCATAAATACCCCATTTTACAAATGCAGATGTGAAGACCCAGAACAATGAAGATAAAGCTCAATGCATCTCCACCCCATGGCCTTATGCTTTGAATATGCTGTTTCCAACCCTCCCGCCACTCACGCTTTTCCAGTATCATATTGTTGTTCAAAATATCTGCCACCTCCACACCTTGTTCCACGGGGACCTTGGTTGGGTCCCAGGAATATAAGTAGCTGTGACGTGTGTCACTGTCATTTCGGAGCAGACACTCTAAGAACTTCCTCAGGATTCCGACTCATTTTCTCCTCTCTCTGGCACAAACACTGGCAGGGCTCGTGATCAGGGCTTCTCTTGTAGCCAGAATGAAGATGACGTGGAGTGGTGACAGCTGAGCTGAGACGGACATGTGGCGTGAGTGAGAAATAATCCTGTGAGCCAGTGGGTTATGGAGGCAGTGGCGAGGGGACAGTATCTACTACTTTTGCCTATCTCTGCTCGGTTTACTGATATATCCACCTGAATTAATTCAGTCAAAACTTGTGGGTTTTGGAGAGATCAGTGCTCGCAACCAAGAGCAATTTTTAGTGCATCAAATAGTGGGCATCACCAGAAAAAAGCTCACAGTGTTCAGATCACCAGTTGTCTGGTCTAGCTCTGCTGTCAGGCAGTAGATTTTTTCGAAAACCACAGTTGTAAATTAGTGCTTTGTCATGTCAAGTCCAACATGGGAATTGGATTGCCCAATTAATGTGATAATGAGACAATGTGCGTCTAAAATTTAGGAAACTGTCTTGTATTTACTAAACATGTAATAGATCACACCAGCCATCATTATTATTGTTATCATTTTAAACTTATTCATGTTCATGAGAGTGTTTCTTGAAATTAGTGTGCTCGTTGAAGCCAATATTTTGAGAAAGTGGGTTTCCTCTGTGCATGCGTTTGGGGAGAACTAGCATGTGGCAAGGGAAACTGATTTTAGGCAGAAGAACCAGGTTTCTTCAGTTCTGACAGGGACCCATTGTTAGCAGTGGAGCAACAAGTGCAAGAATCTGCAAAGATGAACTCATTCCCTTCACAGAAAAGCACAAGTAGAGCTGCGCTCAAGGATAGATTTTGCAAAGAAAAACTTATCTGCATTGATATGAATTTAATGATTTCGTATAACATACTGAGATGTATGGAGCACAGCAACTGTTTAGCAAGGTGATTTCTGACTTCTTTTACAAGATTGAAGGCAATAATGAAGAGCTCAGCCTTTGAAAGGGAAGAGGCCAGGAAAGTGGCAGAGAAATCAGTGTGAACAAGAAAAGGCACTCAGAATAGCTGAAAGCATAGTCTTATGGACTGCACAGGCTAGCACAAGTGGGCTTTCAGAGAAACAAAATTCTGTAAATTCCTGATGAAGAGGATTGATGGGATCATGGGCTGATGTGCGCTTACATTTCTAATTATCCAAGTGTAACCAGATAACTTTTTTTAAATACATTTTTTTTGGCCTTTAAATGTTTTACATCTTATAAAATGCATGAGCACTGTGACCTTCATAGTCCACGTTATGCTCAGATTTGAGCTTCATTTTCCTGAAA